TTTCAGTAAGTATTAAAGAGAGATAAAGATAGAAGAGATAGTCAGAAATAATATAATAATAGTAATAATAATGATAATAATGATAATAATAATAATGATAATAGTAATGATAATAATAATACTAATGATAATAATGATAGTAATAGTGATGATAATAATAATGATGATGATAATAATAATAATAATGAAAGAGAGAGTGTATTGAAATATATTACTGACTTATTAAATATAAAGAGACTTAAAGAAAATATTAATAGCTTTCAGTGATATACAGAAACAGCTACAGTGTTACATAGTAATATTATCTTTATTTAATACATGCACTGTTAATATTCTTTGTATACAGTTATTATATAATCTGTATCAGAGATACATACAGAAAACAGATCTTTATTACTAGAATAAATAGTTACAGCAATTCTCTGTTTTTATATTATAAAGATAAGTTATTCTCATTTCTTTCTTCTCTCTTTTCTCTTCTTCAATTAATCACTAATTTCAAGCTGATATGAAAACTATTAAAACACTCTCAGAAACTCTGTAAGAAATCCCGCTCCTCGCGGATTCTTTACCTCTATTCCTATCTCTCGCGTAATCAATAGAGCTAGCGGCCCTTGGCTACACACAACTATATAGACTGGAGTTTGTGAATACTATTCATAACTCAGCTTGAATGCTATTATACATTTGATCTCTACATTTTATCTTTCTACTGTGAATACTTCTAGTAGTTAACAGTATATATCACATCAAGCTGCAAACACCTGAATAATCACCTGTGAGTACTTATTCTTACATTTCAAGCTCAGTCAGTCAGCAATTATCTTGTTATAACTAAAAAGAACTAGAAACTTACATGCTCTCATCTCTGCAAACTCTACTGCAGACACTTAGAAGCAGTCATCTGAATTATGAATAATCTCTGTGAAAGAAGTCTTAGAGAACTTATTAATCACTCACAGAACATCATTCTTTACATCTCAGACAGAGAAACTCTCTGAACTCATGAATAAATTAATCTCAGTGAAGAATATTCTTGAGCATCTCTCACAGAATTAAGTTATTTTTCTATAAGAAATACTTACTGTCTGTAAACACTCTTGAACTGAGTCTCTAGACATAATCTTCAGAGATATCTGTGAACTGAAAAGAAACTTTCTTAAGCTGTAATCACTTAAGATCACTTATCAAATCACAATCTATAAAAGCTTTTATAAGTTTGTATTTGAAATTGACTCACAAGTCTGACTGTGTGATATGAAAGATGAAGAAGCTGTTATCTATATAATGACAGGCCTCTATTACACTGAAGTCAAGAACTGACTGAATTATCTTGAGAATAATCATGAGAGATTCTGATAATCTGTTCTCAAGATCTATCTAGAGAATAAGTTAAAAGACTCTGTGAGCTGAACAGAGAACATCTGAGCTGTGATCATTAATATTAGAAAAAGAGATGAGAAATCTGATAAATACTACTCACAGTGCTTTATGAAATTGTGATGTGAATTAAGACCTGTGAAAATAGGGCCCTGAAACAAGATCTGAATGATGATGTTTATAAAGAGACTGAATAAAGATATATAGAACAAGCTCATTGAGCAAGGCTCTAAGTTCTTGATTCTGAAGAAACTGATAACTCTCATTCATCACTTACAGATCACTGTGAGAGTTACAGACTTATGAAGAGCAGATCACTGACTGACTCTGTAAGAGTCAGAATAACAGAGAACAGATTTGCTGAGAAAAGATAATAAGACACAGAGAGATTCATATCTAACTGCTGAGTAAAGAGAGAGAGCTTCACAAGCTCTCATAAACAGAGTATATAATAGAAAGATTAAGAAAAAGAAACTCTGCTTTATCTATTCTAAATCAGAACATCTCTGTACAAACTGTCTGAACAAATCAAAATAAGAATTTGAAAAGTTATAAACAGAGTCAGTAACAGCCTTCTTAAGAGCTCTGAAGCTGATACCTGAATCTATTGCTTTTCTGATGAAAATGCTTACTTATGAGAAGAGACTGCACTGTGATACTGCTGCTCTGCAAGTATGAAAAGTATTGATGAACTCAGGATCTCAGATCACTGTGATGTCTCTAAAGCTTATGAAGTGAATAGACTGAAAGATGAAGACTGAGAATCTGCTCTTACAATAAGCAGAGCATAAGAACTCAGATCTGAGAACTGAGAGACTTATAAGAGTCATCTTTAAATTACAAGATCTCTCTGAAATCTGAAGAAGATTTACAGAAACTGTGATTGTTATAAACATCACAGATAACATGTACTTAAGACTTATATAACTTTAAAGACACAATTTATACATAGCTGTCTGTGAGTTAGATTTATACTTCTGATCAGTGTTAGCAGACTTACTTATAAAGATAGAAGCAGTTAATACTGCAGAGTTGATTAGAGAAGATAAGCTTATTCATATAATGACTTTATAAGTGTCTGAGAATCTTACAGTTATGAAAACTGAGCTTCAGATATCAGAGAAATACTGAGATCTTGCAGAGATGTTCAGCTCAGCTAAGACAGCTGAGCTTTCTTCTCACTATGAGAAGAATCTAGTAATAGATTTGATAGAAGAGTAGAAACTCTTCTGAGAATCAATCTATAAGCTCTTTCATCATGAGACAGAGATCTTGTAAATCTATGTAAAGAAGAATCTGAAGAATGACTTCATCTGATCTTCACAGGCCTCTGTGAAAGCCTCTGTGATATTTGTGAAGAAGAAGAATGAAGATCTCAGATTGTGTGTAGACTACTATAACCTGAACTTCAAGATAATAAAGAGCTGCTACTCTCTGTCTCTGATTGAGAATGTGATCAACTGTCTCATAAGAGCTGTTATATTCACATAACTGAATGTGATCAATGTATATACATAGCTGTGAATACAGTCTGAGAATGAATGAAAGACTGTCTTTAGAACTGCACTGAAATTGTTTGAATATCTAGTAATATCTTTTAATCTGACTAATGTTCCTGCAGTATTTCAGTCTTTCATTAATAAAATACTTCACACATATCTGAATGTTTTTATAGTAATATATCTGAATGATGTGATAATGTACTCTATGAAGAAGAAAGAACACACTGAGCATGTGTAAAGTGTGTTAAAGATCTTAGATGAGACAGAACTGTATATTAAGCTTATAAAGTGTAACTTCAGTGTCTACTGAATTAATTTCCTAGAATATATAATCACTGTAGATGATATTCAGATGAAATCTTTGTAAGTTAAGACTATTCTATCATGACTGAAGTTAACTAGTATTCATGAGATTCAGATCTTTCTGAGCTTTGTGAATTTCTATAGATAATTTATCTTTGTGTTTATGAGAATCTTCTTAACTCTTACAGACATGCTGAAGAATGAAAATAAGAAGAAGTCATTCTATGAATGAAGAATGAAAAGATTGTTAAGAAGAAAGAACTGTAAGAACTTTCTTACTTTAAAAGCTTGTGAGATCTTTACAAGATTGAAACAGATATTTACAGATGCAGTGATACTGTTTTACTTTGATTTCTTACTCTTAATCAGATTGAAGACAGATGTCTTCTTCTTTATAATTTCAGAAATAGTCTTATAACTACAGTTAAATGAGAACTGAGTTTCAGTGACCTTTTTCTCATGAAAGATATAACTCACAGAGATTAACTATGATATTCATGATCAGAAGCTTCTTATGATAGTGAAATTCTTCTATCACTGATATCACTACTTTGAGAATCTTATAACAGTGATTACTGTTAGAACTGATCATGACAGCTTATGATAGTTTACTTCAATTAAGAAACTCTTGTGATGACAGATTTACTGAGCTCAGAGATGGAGTGAGTTCTGATTCAAGATAGAATATATTAAGAAAACTAAGAACTCAGTGAACAGATTCTCTTACAGATCAGACTATATTAAGAAGATCAGAATAACAGATACAGAGAGACTAGAGAAGGCAGAAAAGCTTTATAAAATACTTGTAAGAATAAGTGCTCGCAGGCGATTATTCGGGTGTTTGCAGCTTGGCGTGATATGTACTGTTAACTACTAGAAGTGTTCGCGGTAGAAAGATAAATGTAGGGGTCAAATGTATAATAGCATTCAAGCTGAGTTGTAAATAGTATTCACAAACTCCAGTCTATATAGTTGTGTGTAGCCAAGGGCCGCTAGCCCTATTGGTTACACAAGAGATAGAAATAGGGATAAAGAATCTGTGAGAAGTGAGATTTCTTACATACCTCCCCCTCTCTAAGGCTTCATCCGCGAAGCCTTTCACTGAGTGACTTCATAGTCAGCTCAGCACTGTAGTGATACTCACTAAAAACCCTTTGTGTCTATAAAAAACCTCAGTGAGGAAAAATCCCTTATTACTGTGAAGAGAAAAGAGTCTGTCACTCAGTTCCTTGTTCTGTGAGATTCTTTATGATCTACAGATTCTTCTCTGACTATCACACAGATTCATCTTGCATCTTTCATACAGAAGAGTTTCAGTTGACTCTCAATCATTTTCACAAGGTTCTTGTGTGATCATCACACAGATTCATCTTGCAGGTGAATCACTCTCTGTGAGATCACTCTTATCAAAGAGAAACATTTGTGAGTTGATCTTTCATTCATTCTTGCAAATCATTGCTCTTTGACACTGTAGAATTGTGAGGAATTTTTCATTCTTTCATCAACTCTGTAGAATTGTAGAATCAAGATATTCACAGTCTGCAATCATTCTTTATAGTCACATAGAAGGATTCAGACCTGTGATTCACAATCACTCTTATTTGCTAGAGTAATCTGGCTGTTTCACAGAATCACTCACAGTGCAAGTAAACCTCTCTAGAGTAGTATAAATATCCCAGGTCTGTCTGTGAAATCTCATCTTCTTTTCTCTTTTTCTGTAACAGCTTTCATCCTCACAAACTGTGAGTATTCTCATTCATCCGCGAAGTGTTTTCACTCAGATGATAGAGAGAGAGTGTTTCTGACAATGTCTGCATGTTGGTTCAAGAACTTCTCAAGAATAAAAATTTTTCAATTTCAACATCTTCACAAACAATGTCTGACTGCTGCTGAGCTTCTCATGAGCATCTCTGTAACTTCTCTGATCACTTTTTACCAGCTGATGGAGCAGGGATGCTGCTGCTCACAACTGTGCCTTCACTCTCCTCAGCCCCGCCACCGCACCCGATCTTCAGGCCAGCAGCTCACCCCATCCCTCTCCCAGGCCAGTCCCTGGCTCTAAGCAGTGCAGTCTCCTCCTTTGCTGTAAGTCTTCTCACAAGTAATTCCTTACAGATTCTAGCTGACAGTTCTTGTAAAGCTTCTGATGTTGCCAGTGTCTTCTGCAGCCCTGCAGGCCTACAATCACCCTCTCTCTGCCTGCACAATCTCTGACCAGGTATATGCAAATATGCCTAGGTTCCCTGCCAATGGTCCTCGCGCCGCGGCGCATTTTCACAATCTCATTGTCAATGGGAGATGAGTCCCCAGGTACCCGCAAAATCCAGGTAATCAAGGTAATACAAATGCCATGAATTTGTGATAAGAGTTGATCTGGACAGATGAGCTCTCTCTCTGTGTTCTCATTGTTTCCAGGCTGAATACTTCAGCATAACTGAGAGAGCAGACACAGCTTCATGAGAAGTATCTGGTTACACACACAGATGACCAGTCTTCAAGGCCCTGTCACAACTGTGCATGCTCTGATATTCAGCTCTTCTGAAGTCTATGCATTTCTGATGACCTTCATGTTAAATGTAATAATTGCCTGTATCACAGACATGATGCTCTCTGCTCCTTTGAAGAGAGAAATTGATAGTTGTGAGGGAATTGAGTGTCACAGATGTTAATGATATGAGTGTGGATTTTCTTTGTTTTTTCTTTATTGATCTCTAAATTGCATTCACAGCTCTGTTTATTTTCTTATTTTTTAGCTTTAATGAGAACATGTTTTCTTCTTCTCTTGCATACACTGCAGACTGTTCATCTCAGTAGAAACTCATCATCTTATAGACTAGGGTTTGCAAATGACAGTGTTAATGTCTTTATTACAATCAGGTTCTTAATGAAGATCATGTCATTCTGACTTGTCAGAATTCACAGCATGAAAGTCATATCTCAGCTTCTGCAGATGTCTTATCTGCTCAGATGATTCTCAAGTGAACTCATTCATCTTGTCAGAATACTCTTATCACTGAACCTTGAATCAGAGCTCACAATCTCACTTCTCTGAGTTAACAATCTCTTTGATCTGATATTCTCTTTCACTCTCTAGTGCTTCATGAACAGAGTGATGAGTCACAGAGTTCTCTCCTGAGAATTCCTTGTATTCACAGAGTAAAGAGACATGAAAAATATTATATATCTGCAACTCAGGTGATAGTTTTAATCTGTAGAACTGTGAGCTAACTTTCTTCACAATCTTACAAGGCTCTGTCTGCAAGAGATTCAGCTTCTTACTAGGTCTCTGTGTGATGATGTTTTCTAGACTCAGTCAGACTCTATCATCTTTCTTGAAACTCTTTGTGATGTGCTTGAAGTCATAGTATCTCTTCTGATACTCTTGAGTCTTTCTCAAGAATTCACAGGCTTTCTCCTGAATCTTCTGAATTCTCTCAGCTCATTCACAGGCATCACCACACTCTATAGTGTACTCTCATGGGTTCATCAAGGTCATCTGCAGATGAGTCTCAGTAAGTATCTCAAAGGGGGTTTTGCCTGTACTGACATGCTTTGAGTTGTTGTATATGAACTCTGTGAGTGATAATCAATGCACTCAGTTATTCTGATTATAATTGACAAAGCACTGCAGATACTGTTTCAATATACTCATCAGGTGTTCTGTCTGATCATCTATCTGTTGATGAAAAGCTGTGCTTAGATCTCATAAGATCTTCAGTATAGTTATCAGGTCAGATCAGAACTCTTCTGCAAAGATTGATTCTCTGTCTGAGACAATGTTTGTAGACAACTCATGCAACCAGACCACATTGCAGACAAAGATATGAGTCAAATCCTTTGACTTCAAGTCCTTGCAGATGGGTATAAAGTGTGTCATCTTAATAAAGTGATTCACTATCATCAGCACACTGTCAAAGCAGGCATCATATATGTCCTTGCTTTCAGAGAGGCTCACAAGAGTATTCATTCCTAGCTGTTCCCAAGGTTTCTGCAGGATAGGTAGAGAAGTGAGTTCTTTATATAACCTGAACCACACTATCTGTGAACCCTGATAAACAGCATAAGAATTCACTATCTTCTTCACAAGTTCTTGCATCTTTGATCAGAAGTATTTTCTTATAAGTAACTCATAAGTTCTAGTGTCTGTAAAATGACCTGCTAGAGAAGAGTCATGATGCCTTTTAATAAGTTCTACATGTAGAAACTCATTCACAGGCACATAAATCCAGCCCTCTCTTTACAAGAGGTCATTTAAGTTCCTTCAATTCTTTGTTTCTGCAGGATTGATCTCTATCACAAGCAGTTTCTGAATATACTGAGCATATTCATTCTTCAGTTGCAGTTCAGACAATCTGAATAGAAGATCTTGTAAAGACTTATGCTCTGTTTTCTCTTGCATCAGGTCTTTCACAGCACTTCTCAAAGCTCACAAACTCTTCAGATTATAGATACTCTCTTCAAGGATTCTTGCAGAGATTCTCAGAGTGTTGACTCTCAGTGTCACAGGGAGTAGTTGCACAGGCTTCTTTCCTCTCTTTCTCCTCTTCTCTTGCAGGGGATTGAGAGACTCTTCAGTCAATCTCTTCACAACACTCAGTCTGAGCATTCTGTGAAGCTTTTCTATCTTCTCTAGTCTCTCTGTGTCTGTCACCCTGGCCTTCTTAACATAGTCTGGCCTGTAAGAGAGTTCATTCACTGAGTTCTTAGTTCTCTTGATATGCTCTATCTTGAACCAGAACCCACTCAGTCTCTGAGCTCAGTGAATCTGCCATCACAAGAGTTCCTTGATTAAAGCAAACTGTCATAAGCTGTCATGATCAGTTCTAACAGTAATCACTGTTGCAAGGCTCTTGAAGTAGTGACATCAGTGACAGAAGAATTTCACTATTATGAGAAGCTTCTGATCATGAATATCATAGTTAATCTCTGCAGGTTGCATCTTCCGCGAGAAAAAGGTCACTGAAACCCAGTTCTCATTTGACTGTAGTTGCAAGACTATTCCTGAAATCACAAAGAAGAAGGCATCTGTCTTCAATCTGGTTAAGAGCAAGAGATCAAAGTGGAACAGCATCACTGTGTCTGTGAATATCTGTTTCAATCTTGTAAAGACCCTGTGAGCTTCTGAGATAAGAAAGTTCTCACAGTTCTCTCTTCTCAACAATCTTTTCATTCTCTGTTCATGAAATAACTTCTTCTTGTTTTCACTCTTCAGCATGTCTGTAAGGGCCAAGGAGATTCTCATAAACACAAAGATAAACTGTCTATAGAAATTCACAAAGCTCAGAAAGATCTGAATCTCATGAATACTAGTTGACTTCAGTCATGATAGAATAGTCTCAATCTGTGAAGGTTTCATCTGAATATTATTCACAGTGATTATATATTCTAGGAAATTAATCTAGCAGACACTGAAGTTACACTTTGTGAGCTTAATATACAGTCCTGCCTCATCTAAGACCTTCAACACACTTCACACATGCTCAGTGTGTTCTTCCTTCTTCATAGAGTACATCATCACATTATTCAGATATATTATCACAAAGACATTCAGATATACATGAAGTGTTTTATTGATGAAAGACTGGAATACTGCAGAGGCATTAGTCAGATCAAAAGACATCACTAGGTATTCAAACAATCTCAGTGCAGTTCTAAAGACAGTCTTTCATTCATTCTCAGACCATATTCACAGCCATGTATATACATTGATCACATTCAGTTGTATGAATATAACAGCTCTCATGAGACAGTTGATCACATTCTCAATCAGAGACAGAGAGTAGCAGCTCTTTATTGTCTTAGAGTTCAGGTCATGATAGTCTACACACAATCTGAGATCTTCATTCTTCTTCTTCATGAACATCACAGAGGCTCCCGCGGAGGCCTGTGAAGATCAGATAAAGTCATTCTTCAGATTCTTCTTCACATAGGTCTGCAAGACCTCTGTCTTGTGATGAAAGAGCTTATAGATTGGTCCTCAGAAGGGTTTCTGTCCTTCTATCAAATCTATTATCAGATTCTCCTCACAGTGAGAAGAAAGCTCAGCTGTCTTAGCTGGGCTGAACATCTCTGTGAGATCTCAGTATTCCTCTGATATCTGAAGCTCAGTTTCCATGACTGTGAGATTCTCAGACACTTACAAAGTCATCATATAGATGAGCTTATCTTCTCTAATCAACTCTGCAGCATCAACTGCTTCTACCTCTGTAAGTGAGTCTATCAACACTGATCAGAAGTATAAACCTGACTTGTGAACAGCTATGTGCAGATTGTGTCTTTGAAGTCATGCAAGTCTCAAATACATGTCATCTGTGATGTCTGTGATAATCACAGTTTTCACAAATCTTCTTCAGGTTTTAGAGAGATCTTGCAATTCAAAGATGACTCTTGCAAGTCTCTCAGCTCTCAGGTCTGAGTTCTCACACTCTGCTTGTTGCAAGAGCAGGTTCTCAGTCTTCATCTTCCAGCTCATTTGCTCTGTGAGCTTTAGAGACATCACAGTGACCTGGGATCCTGAGTTCATCAATGCTTTCCATGCTTATGAGGCAGCAGCACTGTGATGTGATCTCTCCCTGCAAGCAAGCATTTTCATTAGAGAAGCAACAGATTCAGGTGTCAGCTTCAAGGCCCTTAAGAAGGCTGTTGCTGACTCTGTCTGCAACTTCTCAAATTCCTATTTTAATTTGTTCAGACAGTTTGTGCAGAGATGTTCTGATTTAGAACAGATGAAGCAGAGTCTCTTTTTCTTGATCTCTCTGTTATACACTCTGTTCACAGGAGCTTGTGAAGCTCTTTCTCTCTGCTCAGCAGTCAGACACAAATCTCTCTGTGTCTTGTCATCTTTTTCTGACAAATCTGTCCTCTGTTGTCCTGGCCCTTGCAGGGCCAGTTGATGATTCACTCTTCACAGGTCTGTGGCTCTCACAGTGATCTGCAAGTGATGAATGAGAGTCATCAGTTTCTCCAGGGCCAAGAGCTTAGAGTCTTGCTCAATGAGCTTATTCTGCATGTCTTTATCCAGCTTCTTCATGAATATCATCATTCAGGTCTTGTTTCAGGGCCCTGTTTTCACAGATCTCAATTCATACCACAATTCCATGAAGCACTGCAAGTAGTCTTCATCAGATTCCTCACCTCTTTTTCTAATATTGATGATCACAGTCCAGGTGTTCTCTGTTCAGCTCATGGAGTTCCTCAACTTGTTCTCTAGATAGGTCTTGAGAACAGATCATCAGAATCTCTCATGATCATTCCCTAGATGATTCAGTCAGTCCTTGACTTCAGTGTAATAGAGGCCTGTCA